CAATCAGATTCCCATGCATCCAGATGATGCTGAACATACTTCATTCTATTCGGCCCGTGGCCTCTATTGCTACGTTATGATGACTTTTGGACTGAAAAATGCCGGGGCCACGTATCAAAGATTGGTCAATAAGATGTTTGCTCGTTTAATTGGCCATACCATGGAGGTCTATGTAGACGACATGTTGGTGAAGTCGGAACAGGCCGCCGACCATATTGCTCATCTCTCTGAAGTCTTTGATATACTCCGAGAATACTCCATGGTACTTAACCCTAAAAAATGTACTTTTGGAGTTGGGTCAGGAAAGTTTCTAGGGTACATGGTGAGCCAAAGAGGGATCGAAGCCAATCCTGCTAAAATTCAAGCCATACTTGACCTAGCTCCCCCGACATCTCTCAAAGCCGTCCAAGCCTTAACTGGTCGGCTGGCGGCCCTTAATCGGTTCATTTCGAAATCCACGGACCATTGTAAATCATTCTTTGACGCTATCAAGAAGACGAAGCCGTTTGAATGGACCACGGAATGTCAAAATGCTTTTGATAACATTAAACAGGTTCTTTTGCAGTTACCGACCTTGCAGAAGCCACTTCCCGACGAGTCCCTTTATTTGTATCTCGGCGTAAGTGATGTTGCCGTCAGTGCTGTCCTCATACGTCAAGACGGACTTCAGCAATTTCCAGTGTATTATGTTAGCAAGGCCCTGCATGACGCGGAGTTACGATACCCGCATATGGAGAAGCTCGCCTACGCTCTAATCATTGCTGCACGGAAATTGCGCCCATATTTTTTGGAGCACTCAATTGTTGTGTTTACAGCATATCCCCTCCGCCAAATCCTTCATCGACCTGACACGTCGGGAAGAATGATCAAATGGGCTATTGAGTTGGGACAGTTCGATATACAATACCGGCCACGAACCGCTATCAAGGCCCAAGTATTGTCTGATTTCATCGCTGAATTCACCCCCGCTATGGATCCATTCATTAAAGATCCGACGTGGACTCTCTACATAGACGGATCGTCTACTGCTATACGAGCCGAGGGGGGAATCGTCTTGGTTAGTCCCGATCAACAAGTATTTTGTTACTCTGTGGCATTCACTTTTCCAGCCACCAATAACGAAGCCGAGTACGAGGCCCTCCTATCAGGATTGCACTTTGCCGAGTCCATGAATGTTTCCTCTCTTCGGATATTTTCCGACTCCCAATTACTAGTCAGTCACATCAACGGTACTTACGAAGTCAAGGAACCACGACTGTTGCCCTATTTTGATCTTGTTAAAAAGAAGCTGACACGATTCAAAATGACGCTGGAACACATACCTCGGTCATCTAACATCCAGGCAGACGCCCTTTCACGACTGGCTTCATCAACCGACTTGGACAACATTGAATTTGTACAAATCACTCAACAGGCGACCTCATCTACAGTCTCCACCGACGTCGCTATGGCTGATCCCACCTCAATAACTCTAAATCCCACATGGATGGACCCAATCATCGACTATCTCCAGACCGGGGCCTTACCTGAAGACTTGAAAAAAGCTCGTGCCCTCCGTGTTCGAGCTGCTCATTATACCATCGATGACGGGACGTTATATAAACGCGGGTATTCAACCCCGTTGCTTAAATGTTTGTCGGAGGTAGATGCCCAGCGAATCTTACAAGAAGTACATGAAGGAGTCTGCGGCACCCACCAAGGAGCTCGAGCTTTGTCTCATAAAATTCTCCGACAAGGCTACTATTGGCCTACCCTTCGGAAAGATGCCGCGGATTGGGTACGACGATGTCACAAATGCCAGATATTTGCTCCCAACGTCAATCAGCACCCTGAACTCCTCACATCAATATATAGTCCATGGCCATTCGCAAAATGGGGAATCGATTTAATTGGCCCGCTTCCGACAGCGAAAGGAGGAGTTCGGTTCGCTATATTAGCTGCAGATTACTTCACCAAGTGGGTTGAAGCTGAACCCCTTACTACCATCACCGAGCAAAAAATGGTAGATTTCGTTTGGAAATTAATCGTTTGTCGGTTTGGCGTCCCCAACTCTATTATAACCGACAACGGTCGTCAGTTTGAAAGTAAACGATTCGAAAGTTTCTGTGAAGATTACGGTATTAAGCATTTCTTCTCGTCACCATATCATCCACAAGCCAATGGACAAATAGAGGCCGTGAACAAGATCATCAAGAATGGCTTGAAAACTCGGCTTGAAGCTGCTAAAGGGTCATGGCCCGATGAATTGCCCTATGTCCTCTGGTCTTATCGAACGACGACGAGAAGTTCGACCGGAGAAACTCCGTTCTCGTTGGCCTATGGAGCTGAAGCTATGATACCAGTTGAACTTGCCTTTCCTACACATCGGGTCACTCACTTCTCCGAGGAGAGCAACTCAGCAAACTTGAGAGCCAGTCTCGACCTGCTCGAGGAACTACGTGCTGATGCTGAAATCCGCAATGCTGCTTATAAACGACGTAGCGAAAAATATATAAACTCGAGGCTCAAACCACGTTCGTTTGTTAAAGGAGACCTCGTCCTGAAAAGAATCACTGGTGCTCATGTCGGCCCGTTACAACCAAAATGGGAAGGACCCTTCAGAGTGAATCGCCAGATTTCTCATGGTACTTTCCGACTTGAAACCTTGGACGGTGTTCCTCTTCAATATCCTTGGCATACGACACACTTGAAGAAATATTACCAGTGAATCTGATGCCGAAAGTCCTATCTCCGACGTGTAAAAAAGTTGTTTGTCCTACTGTTGTACGCGAATCATGTTTTGTTATCAATAAACTTTGTGTGACGAACCCCAATAATTTGTTCGATCACTCGGACCACAATAAATCGGTCCTCGCTGCTAAGGCTAAACGTGTTTCATACCCTGAAGTTGGTATGACCTAGCCGGATGCAGCAAAGCCGGATACTTCCAAGCCCTGAAGATGGTTTGGGGAGGCTTATGCTCAACAATGCCGAATCCCGACGATGATTTGGTGAGCTTACAATAAATATTTCCAGTAAAAAGCAAATCTTTTATGATTTGTTCAATTAAGAAGTTTACACATGTCGGATAAGTTGCGAATTGCTTCCGATAACTGACAAGCTTAATGTCGGAAGCACTATAAGATTATGCCGACATCAGTAACTCATATAAATTATTATTGATATTGTGTCGGAAATTTTAAATTTACTAAATGATTACTTATCTTTACCGACATAATAAATCAATAAAACAAACATCTCATTCATTAAACATTCATGTCCCATTACAAAATCGAAATAACAGTACGCTTTCAAAGAAAAAATAAACAACAAAATAACATAAAGACGTCAGTCTTCTTTAGTCCCCGATGTCGACGCTTTTCCGGCATCAGAGAGTGGAGGATTTTCCGTCTCAGCCATCCCCCTCTCAACGCCATCT